TACCTAGAAGACTGGAGATCCCAAGATCTAGGTTCAAGGAGATCAAACAAAGTCATTGATGACGGTTCAACATTGTCAAAATATTTTTTATGGTCCATTCTCATGATAAGACAATGTTCAGTAACAAGGATAAAGGCATTAGGACTTTTTAATGATTTCTAAGTTTGATACATGGTATATCAAATGGTGTATCTATGGGATAACACATTTAGAAATCACCTATGTAATGTGAAGTGTAAGCCGCTTCAAGGAGAATCCGGTAAGGCCAGTTCTCTACGCACTTATAAACCAAGACGTGTTCATGGCTGAAACGAACATAACAATGAGAACCAAAAACATTTCAAGGGTTGATTGTGTGACTTATGTTGTCTAGGTATACACCAAAGCTCGACGGTTCAAAGATATCAAATCTACCGCTTGACCGAGTATATCCGATATATGTTCACTACGGAAAGTTCAAAGGGAAACCCACTTATCCAGAGGCAATCAATCCTTAATTACGAATCACATAGTTTTTCATGCATATGTTTTAACATAGTCATTCCCTATTCATGTGGGGATTGTTGGGTTTTAAAGGTGTGAACAGGAAATGAGGGTTGTGACTCTCCTGAAGAGTTGTGACTATGCTGAAGGGTTGTGAACTTTATGAAAGGTTGTGTCCTTTCTAAAGGGTTGTGACCGTTTGAAATTTTGTGACCTTTCTGAAAGGTCGTTTTCTTTCTGAAAGGTTGTCTTCTTTCCAAAGGGTTGTGACCTTTACCCTTTGTTGGCTATAAATAGAGAAGTTTTCTCTCATTTTTTTGCATCGAATTCTTCCCTTCTTTTGCATACATTTCTTACAAAACAAAATCGATCGATCGTGTCTGTGTGTGGGATTAGTTGCTGTCATTTTGAGTTCGTTGAAATTATCCAAGTTTGAGGTACCGCTACTTCTTTAATGGTTAATCCGTTTTATCTTGGGAGGAATTAATCTGCAACCTCGGGTACTTGAGGGGATTAAATTTCTTAAGGACACACAGTGGGTTCTGTGGACTCGGATAGTTCTGTGTGTTTTTCTTTTCATCTTTTATTATTTCTGGTTTGCTAATCTGAATACAGGAGATAACAACATCAAATCAATAGTGTGCTTTAGCCAGAGGCGAATACAGGATTTCAAGAAAATGGGTGCACCATTGCTTTAGAATTTCGTTTTTTTTTTTTGAAAAAACGAGTGTTATTATTTACTAAAAAAATGGAAGGGAATTGTGGCTGGCTGGGATTGAACTCAGGACCTTGGTGTTAAAATCTGGCTCTCAAACCGGTAAACCATCCAGCAACTTTAAGAACGGGTTCAACAAGTGTTTATTTAATATGTTCTTTAATAATTATACAAGTAATATATCGAGTTTAGTCGAAGGACCACGGGTTCGGGTGACCCAAATTTTACACATAAATTCGCCACTGGCTTTAGCTATAAAAAAAATTATGAATATTTATGCTGATGTGGTCCGGCCCTTTATCGAATCATTCAGCAGAAAGTTTAGTGTACCAGACTATTCTTTATGGAGATGATTGACAAATTTGTGATTGGGATAAATAACTTGAATGAACAGAATTTATATGTACATTCTATTATAAGTAACATTGTAAACTGCAAATAAAAAAAGTGTACAAAACTATGTAGACTCTCAATTAATCCTTATATACTTAGTATGATATGATATATTTCAGAAAAAGGCTCATTATACATACAACGTAATGATAGCCAATGGTTCGTTTTTCTAACGTCATGAACCAATAAATACAATCGTACGTGTACTACGTACACACTTATTATTAATAAAAAAACACGTAGAACGCCAGAGAGGAACAGAGGAAATAGATTTTATCAGAATTTAACGTCGAATGTTGGTTTGCTATGTTCAACCTCAGGTTTCTTCCCTGGCTTCAAATCATGAACAGTTAATGTAACATTTGCAAACACATTAAATTGTTTTAATTTAATATCTCCCAAAATAATTTGCACAGGTACCTTAATCATTACCTTTAATGGAATTTTCCCATTTTTTTCATTTTCTTGAAATGCCTCATATAGCCCTGATCCAAATGTACTTTTACCTGTTAATTCAATTTGGAATATAGTTGTATTTTTTTGACCTTGATGAAAACTTGGTAATTTCCCCGTACAAATATTCGAATCGCTATATGTCACGTTAACCGAGCTACCTTCCCCGTAAATAAACCCTATAGCTGTATTGGGATTATTTGCTTTCATCGTTAAGATAAGATCTACATTCACACTGAAGTCGGGTTGATATCCGAAATCCTTAACATCAAGGGATTGAAAATCGTACGTAGGAATTTTAGGCTTGTAGTACATGTAGAAATAGAAGGCTATCGAGGCTAGAATAATTATGAGTAAAAATAGGACGCAATAGCAACAACAAATGCATCTAACGCAAAAATTTCCTCCTCTTCGCTTTTCCGTGTAATAATATTCACCGCCATAAGGCGGTGGCCTTCCGTATTCCCCCATCGCGGAGTACGGTGGAGGAGGGGAGGAAGGAAGAAATTAAATCAAGAAAATGTAGTTTTATGTTTTGTGGTGGAACTTTTTATTTATCAATGGAGGACCACCACTTCTTTTTTTGATTTTAGAAAATAGTGTTGTTATTTCAAGGGAGAAAGGAGAGGTAAATTTTGAGTAACGAATTCTATTTATTGAATTATTGCTCCATTGGTTAAGGACATTGTTACATATGTGTGGTTAGGGGCGGAGTTGTATTCTGGATCCCCTTTGACAGAAAATAACACTTATATTCAAATAAAATAAAAAAATATTGTATTATTTGGGGTTCGAACCCAAAAGATGAACACCCATTAGCACTGCACTAAAGACATACTTTTGCTAAAGATATCCAACTTTAAATATATATCCTTTTAATGTAGAATTTGTGATATATATAAAACGTAATTTTCTGACAAAGGATATCCAGTTAGACACTCCTGGGGTGGCTATTACTGAGCCACTGATTATATCATAGATGTTGAATCATCTTGACGTTTTTGTATATTTACTTTTTTCCTCTATTTTAACATCCTTAATAAAAATTCTGACACCACGCCGCTACATGTGTGACTAAATTAGCAAGTTTATTGCTCCTATCTTTACTTCTCTTGCTTGTTTCTTTGTAATGTTTACACCTTTATTGGGATTTCTAGGTTTCTTTGTTATTCCCATGTTGAATTAATAGTCATACCTTATAAATGATACTACAATACTAGTAGGAAAATGATATTTACAATAATGCAGATAATTGAAAAACTAAAATCTGAATTGTGCAAGTTGGATGCAGCTTCTATTGGATACGTAAAGCTAATGTATGCATTTCTCTATCGGTAAATTAACAAGATAAGCGAAACGTAACTTTTATGTTCTTTCAAATTACTTCTTTTTAATGTTCTATATATGAAGATTAGCCAAGCTTGTTTCCTCCAACGTTGTATCAAACGTAGTTTCTCAGTTTGAACATGACAATCACAATATATATATATATATAATATAGGTAAAATTCGAGGTTTAGAAAATTAAACATAACATCCAATCTTTATTTATTCAGAGTTATGAGAAACATTGTAAACTACAAATACAAAAAAGCTACAAAATTGTGTAGGCTCTCAATTAATCCTTGTACACTTCACGAACCAATAAATACAATCGTACGTACACATGACTTACAAAAAGAAAACGAAAAACGTTTTTTTCAACACGTAAAACGTCTAAGGGGAAGAAAGAAGAGATTCTATCGATCACTTTGCTAATGAGTAGTTGATTTTGCTTTGTTCAATCTCAGTTTTCTTGCCTAGCTTCATATCATGCACAGATATTGTGACATTTGCAAGAATATTGAATTCCCTTAATTTTGAATCTCCCAAAACAGGTTTAAAAGGTACCTTAGCCAATATTATTAAAGGAACTTTCCCATGTCTTTCATTATCTTGTAATGACTCATAAAGCCCTAATGCAAATGGATTTTTTCCCTTTAATTCAATTTGTAACATAGTCATATTCTTGTGACCTTGATGGAATGATGGAAATTTTCCTGAACAAATCGTCGAACCGTTATATGTAACGTTGAAGGTGTTAGCTTCCTCGTAAATAAAACCTATGGCCTTGTTGGGATTATCAGCTTTCAACGTTAGGATAAGATCTGCATTGATGTTGGAATCATTATACCCAAATTCCTTAACATCTAGGGCTTCAAATTTGTAAATTGGAGCTTTTGGATCGTAGACTGTGAATAAATACAAGGTGATTGCCGCTATAATAAGGACGATGAAAAATAGGACGCAATAACAACAACAAATGCATCTAACGCAAATATTTCCTCCTCTTCGCCTTTCATGAGGATAATATTCCCCGCCATAGGGATAAGGCGGGGGCCTTCCATCACCTGCCATCCCGTATGGTGGTGGACGATGCATTATGGTGGAAGGAGGAAGACGAGGATGAGGATGAGGATGAGGACGAGGGGGAGGAAATTAAATTATGAATAATGTAGTTTTTTTTTGGTGGTGGACCTATTTCCTTATGGATAGAGGACCACCACTTTTTTTTTACTTTTTTCTTTTTTTGGTTTTATGAAACAAAGTATTGTTATATCAAGGGAGAAAGGGAAGGTAGTTTTGAGTAATGAATCCTATTTATTGGATTGCTCCATTTGTTAAGGACATTGTTACATATGTGTGGCTAAAGACTAGCAAATTGCTCCTATTTTTTGGTTTTATGATTGTTGCATTGTAATGTTTACACCTTTCTAGGCTCCTTTGTTATTCCCGTATTGAAATAATATTCATACCTCACAAAAGATACTAGTGAAAAGAATGATATATTTACAATAATAAGTCATAAATAGTACATCCTCCGTCTCAATTTATGAGGCATCGTATGATCACTTGTCACAAAATTTAAGAAAGAAATGAAGTATTTTGAAATTTGTTGTCTAATATATTTGTTGACCATTTGGATGGATATAAACCATTTCTTGAAGAAAAAAAAGGAATTTTAAGATTAAATTGTTTCCAATTATGAAAATATGACATTCTTTTTAGGACAAACTAAAAAAGAAAGTGTATCGTATAAATTAGGAGGACAGAGCAAGTAATATTTTTTCATAATCGTAATGATTCTACATGGAATTATGCTACTTGTATGAAGAATTAGGTGAGGATGAAATTGAAGATGAAAATACACATGAAAAGAGAGTAGATTGAATATGCGACCCAATACACGAAGCATCCCGTTCACGTAGGGTTTGACAATGGGCCACACCCCAAGGATTATACTACTTATATATAAGTAGTGATATAGTCAAGATTTTCACTAAGAGTGTCAAAATATAAATAAACAACCACACATAAATACATTCACCTATATGTAAACTATATATACACATACATAAAAATTATATCAAACTTGTGAACTATAAGTCACACGGATAGAATCATCGATACCTTATGATTCGAGTAGGAGGAACAACGCGAATCGAGGACTGGCAATTACAATCTGTTCTTAGAGTATGTGACCACATGAATGACAAAACAGAGACCAAAACAGAGTTCATTTTCACAACAATTTTCTTCATCTTCGTACGTCTCGAATTTTCGTCATAGGTTTCAAGTTTGTAGCTCTGCAAGAAAATGTGGCGTTTTCGAGCTCGTTCCCTTTGGTAACTAAGCGAGCTCCATATAGTACCGTTGATTTGTGATTGATCTAACGGTTCATATCCCTCGATCCTTTTGCTAAAACATAAAGACCTATTATTTACTAGACCATTCATGTCTGATTAACCTGGAATAAGATTTATGACGTTATTTTGTTATTTAGCTATAAAATTTGTCTGTCGCTAAATATTTTTTTGTTTTTAGCTCTAGGGATGGATGAGAGATTAGGTACAAATATATAGTATCTAAGAACAACTACTAATCAACGAGTACTACTACAATTTTTATTACGTATAGTTTTATTTAAAATGTGTTAAATGTTAGGTTTGACTAGTAATCTTGCCATTTTGTATAGATTTTTTTTTTTGTAGATTCTTGAATAAATGGTCAATGATTTACGTAATATTAAATGACTAGTCTAAGGTTGAAAAATTAATACTTCCTCCGTCCCATTTTATGTGATGTAGTTTGACTCGGCACGGAGTTTAAGAAAGAAAGAAAGACTTTTAAAACTTGTGGTCCAAAATGAATGATAGAAATTTGTGTGGCTGTAAATCATTTCATTAAGGGTAAAACAGACATTTTATAGTAAAATTGTTACTTAATATAGAAATGTGTCATTCTTTTTGGGACTGACTAAAAAGGAAAATAAGTCATATAAATTGGGACAGAGGGAGTAACATAGTAGTAATAAGACACGTGCTCCATTAGAAAAGATGTTGGTATTATTGGCAATTAAGTTATTAGAGGATCTTTGACATTTAGTTGGAAAAATGATTGCCGTGATGAAATGCTTCATTGAGTACAAAGTTCAAAAAAGTTAGTACTCTCCCGATCTCAAATGATCTGACGTAGTTTGATTATGTAATGTTTTAAAACTATACTCAAAATAAATGAATTTTTAAATAAAATAATACATTTTTATAAACTTTTTGTCAAATAAGTGAAATCCAACAAGGATAAAATATTGATAGTATTAAATATCAGTGTTTAATTGCTCAAATTAAAAAAAAAGTGTCTTTTTTTTAGATTAGTGAATCGATAAACAAAAGGGCTACGTAAGATATTAGGAAGAGGAAAGAAACGTGTATGAGCAGCCAAGTTTTGACGTTAGATTAATATATTAACTTGAGGCTTATAAACTTCTTTTCCTATATGGATGTATTACTCCCTTCATCTCAAATTATGTGACATTTTTCAAATTTCGAGATCTAAACAATTTTATATTGATCATAAAATTTTCACTTATCTTTTCAATATTTTGAATTGTCAATTATTGTATAGTACTTTTTAAGTAGTTTACAAATGTATAAATTTTATTTCGAAAACTTTGATGATTTCAAACGCAAATTTTTAGTTAAACTTAAATTGTTTGACTCAAAAAATAAAAAAAGGCACAGAGGGAGTAATGGTATACATATATAGTTTTGCTTTTCAATTACTAACAAAGATAAGTTACTTATGAAATTAAGCATATTTAATTCATTTCGTCTCATTTAAATCAAGGGTGGCACATGTTATCCTTTTGCCAATATATTGTTGGTGATATTAAGAAAATGTGAGCGTTTTATTAACATTTAATAGAAAATCGTGATTTGAACTTTTTGATTTAAAGTTAAAATATCATTTAGACATATAACTTAGTGTTAGTTATAAGTAGAGCCGTCAAAACGTGATAGCCTATGGGGTTGGTCCAACCCATTTTGTTATTGGGGGTAGAGTTGGCATAAGATTTTTCAACCCATTTAAAACTAGGGCTTATAAGTTCGACCCATAGAAGCCCTTGAGGCTTGATTGGGCCGGGCTGGAGTCAGCCCATGGGCCAAAACTTTTTATTTAAGGGTAACTTACAATAATTTGACCAGTATATAATCTAATTACTTAAATACACATTATGTTGTAATATTATGAATCTTACCAGATTTTGGTACGTCCAAATACATGTATCTCGAAACATATGGATACATAGACAAATCTCACGCCCTCGCCTCCTTTCCATCTTGCTTGTCACTCTCTTCTCTTGTTCGCGTATCTGGTATGCGAGATACATGCTAATTACACTAGATTTTTTGCTAGTGTTATTGAAACAACACCATTGTTTGCTATATTTGATTTGAAAATCTTCTCATTTTATTGATGTTATAGAACTATAAGTTTGAAAAGAAAAAAAAATGAAAAAAGAAAACAAGAAGGGCTAGCCCATCCAGCCCTCAGTCATGGGTTGGGTTGGGTTGAGCATTTTCAGACCCTTTCAAATGAAGGGCCCGCCCGCCCTAGCCCATCAAATTCCTTGACCTGCGAGGCTTGGGCTGGGTGGGGCTGGACCGGCCCTTTTTAACAACTCTAGTTATAAGTTGTATTTTTTTCTAACAAAGATAAAAGTTCCACAATTTATAAGAAAGTTTAAAACTTCTTCAATTCTTATGTAATCTTATCGAATCTCCATATTTTTTTATAAATAAAAATTTGCGATGGCATGTTAATATAAGCTTTCAAATATAAATAATTTTACAAAAATCTACTAGTCAACAATAATAGTAAATAGTTATTTCTTTAACATAATCTCTATTCCATAAAAGGTATGCATTCATCTCAGCTTCAGATTCCGCTTGTGGGGTTACACTGCTATGTTGTTAGCTAATTATCAAATCAATTTGGATAATCTGAAATTACTTTTCCTAGATACTCGTAAATATTCGTTTCCTCCATTTTACGCTACAAGATATACAGTATTAAACTATCAAACATTGATTAGGTCATTGCTTAAGAGTTAAATTATTTATTTATTTAGGGAAAAACAAATTAATTTTTTACATCTTTCCTGGATTATTACTCATGGGAGTTTTGGTTTTAAAAAAAAAACTAAGTCAATTACATAAACACTCAACCTCATTTTGCCACATTAACTAATTAATTACTCCAAATGTGAGTACTAATGTGGAAAAAAAACAGTTTTCTTAATTAACCTTTCCCAAGGGTGAATTAATTCCAAATGTAATTAAAGATAACTACTTATAACCAATGAAATTGAAATTTGACAAAGAGTATAGAACTGATTGTATAGCAAGTTAACCAACGAAGTTCATATCTGGGATACATAATAAATCGCGCTTGCTTCCCTCCCGATCTTACTCGCGGCTCTTTCAATATATGTATATATATATATATATAGAGAGAGAGAGAGAGA